TTTATATGGCAAAAGTAATTCCCTTTTAGATGTCTATCATATACATAGAAAAACAACCACAATATTTCTCTTTTTAGCCTCACAAAAACAAACCCCAAGAACACCAATCAATTTCAATCGCTTCAACTTATGTATCTATGTGAAAATTGGCTTCAACTAAAAGAATTTTGTGTTTGAATTAATAAGAAAGTAAATGGGACAAAATTGATTTCTTGAAATTAAACAACATGATACCATATTACCATTGTATAAAGGCATCTTCGTAGAAGGTTACAAGTCTACTTCTTTTATGTTCATGTAGTTTATAAATATTATAACAAGTATATTACACATATCATTTATGTGGTTTTGGGCAGGGGCGGGTCCAATGTAGAGCCCGGAGTGGCCCCCTAATTTTTTTTAGTAGTGTATTTTTTTTTTTCAAAAAATTTCGTTTTAAATGTAAAAATTGTAAAAAAAAAAAATGAAAAAGTTTGTATAAAGGTGCAACCTGATACAAACTCATCACATATTAGGCTCGTATCATGCCATAAGCTCAAGTGTAGAACTCACTCTAAAAAGCCAGCTTGTAGGAAAAAGGGGAACCTAGACTTATAAGTCACCAACTTATAGTACTTTCAGCCGATGTGGGATCATAACAATATCTCACGCTTTGAAGAGCCAACGTCCTCGTTGGTCACGGTTGACACCCCTTTTCGGTCCAAGTCACCACTTCGAGTCATTGTTGGTTACGGTTAGCACCCCTCTTTTCGGGTCCAAGTCACCACTCTGTAGGCCACCACTCCAAGTGTTGGCACCTCGAAAGATGTGGAGGGATTTGATATCAATTGATACGAACCCATCCCATACCAGGCCCGTATCATGCCATAAGCCCCAGTGTAGAACTCACTCCTAAAAGCCATCTTGTAGGAGGATGAGACACTTAGACTTATAAGCCACCAACTTATAGTACTTTCAGCCGATGTTGGATCATAACACAACCAAGGTCGTATTTCCTCCATTTGTTGTATCTGAATATGTGATTAGTGATACTATATCGTCTGTGATCTCTTCGTCATTTGCTTTGTGTAGTCTGATGTATGCTTGACCATGGAGTGAGCGTCCATGTTGTGGTTGAGTATTTAGGAAGATAGATTGAAATGACTAGTTATGTTAAAAACGTTTTTAGGCTATAAGTATTACATGGTTTTTTTTTTTTTTTTTTTTTTTTTTTTTTTTTTTTTTTTGAGGTATAAGGCTGGAGAAAGTGATGTCACACTTTCTTTATTTTGCCACACTGTCACATAGACGACACATCACCAAAGTGTGGTTCTTTGCCAAACCGAAAGAGTGGAGCCACACTTTTTTATAACAATTTAATTTAAATAAAAACTTTAAATTTCATAAAAAGGTAACATTTCATTAATCAAAAATTAAAATACATACATTCTATTACTTAAAAAAAATAACATGACATTTAAAAAAAAAAACCCTAAAAACTTAGAAAAAAACCTAAACATGAAACAATTAAAAACTTAAAAAAATATATATAATAAATTAAATTAAAACTAGAAAAATTAATCATATTTATTAGCATAACGTTTTTTGAGATTCACTTTCATTGCCAAAGCAATTTCAGTCTCCTCCCCGATCATATGTTATGTGTTCATCGTTAATATTTTGTAGTCACTATCCCTTTGTTTTTGAAGCTCTTTTTTATAAGTAAGTTGCAAAATCTTGTCCATTCTATCTTTTATACCTTTCATATCGGACCCTATTTCTTTCAACTCATTCGAATCTGATGTTTTGCCTTTGTCTTTCCTTTTTTGCTTTGTTCCTTCCCATTGGTCGTGAAGGTGGTGAAACTGTAACGGCTTCATCTTCGTTCAGGTCGAATTGAACTCGAGCATTAGATGTAGTGTGGTCGGATTCAGATATTCTATTGCGTTTTGAAAAACTGTCAATATGTTCATCTGATATTTTGCTATTTTTCCATTTGTTGTTATCTTTCACAAGATTTCAAACTTCAAGAAACTTGAAAGCCTTCACGTTTTCTTTTTGATATACTTTTAGTGCTTTCTGCAAAATTACATCATCGTTTTCTCCGCTTTTCCATTGATGTTTCATGTTGGTATACAAATCATTAAACAACATGACTTCCCTATTCATCTTCCCTCATTTCGAGTACACTTGATGTTTCGAACGATAGACTCCACAATCCATTCATTTGTGGAACCTATGTAAAACACGAATCCTAAAACGGTCATGTTTTTGATCTTTTCTAGACGTCGCATCTTCTGAAATAACAATCCATGATTATGCCAACACTAATACTTCTAGGGGTTCACATCATTTATCTATCGCCTTCTCTTTTCTTTTACTTGGTGCTCGATTGGGTTGAGTTTCTTGAACAAATTCCGGTTCGGAATCAGAAATGACCATTCGTGGTTGTGATTGTGTTTGTTGAACAAACTCAGGTTGAGACAAAAAGTTAAATGAATTAAAATCTAGGTCGGGTTGTGGTTGTGTTTCTTGGTAGTGGTTATGTTGGTCGTTGTGGTTGTGGTTGTGAGATTTGTTGTGGAAAATACGGAAGCATACTGCCATCGTGATAATACGAAGACAAATAAATCTATTGATCATATGAAGGTCTTGGGGTTGTGGTGTTTCCAGTGAGTGTTTTTTTTGTTAGTAGGCTTTTTGGAAGAAGACATTTTGAGAGGGTTTGAGAAAAAGATGGTAAAATGTTAAGAAATTTGAATGAGGTTTTTGTAAAAAAGTGATATGTATATATAGGATTAGTTTAAAAAAATTGAATTCGAAAAAATGACCATTAAAATAGTCAAAAAGCTTGAATCAATCAAAACGCACGGCCAAAAGGTGCAACACTACGGCCTGAACCGCATCTGACCGCACTCGGGGCAGTGTTCAGCTGCCATGATGGCAAAACCGCGATTCTGAACCGCACCACTCCCCTAAGCCTAAAAGAGTGTATACGGACATAAATGGTAAAAATATCATGGTTAATTCTTTAGGTTTCAAACTGTCACTAGGTTTATAGTCTTTCAAAAAATTAGGCTAATAAAAATCTATTTTTCTTATTTATTATAACTACTAACAAATTAATGGCAAACTGCTTACAAATAATTGATAACTTTTTTAACGTAGTGTATTGTTATGGAATTTTTAAATATGTTACACTTTGAACTTTATAATTACAATTATTACGCACAAAGTTTATTTATTAGGTATGATGTTACGATATTGCTTTGATATTACGATTACGATTTTACAAAACGAAAATGATCAAGGTAAAATTTCGATCTTAACAACCTTGGGTGCAACCATTAGAAAAATATGTGCAACTAATAGTATATGTTGAGTGAAAAAAATTGGTGCCATTACTGCTATAAATTTCTATCTACCCCGATTGGGATACCTTTTTACCTTAACCCTGGCTCCGCCACTGATTTTGGGTGATCTGCATGTTTATTGTAACGTCCGCAAATTTAAGCTAGACATTTAAGAACTAATTAAAATCCTAAAACTGGATAATTGCATGTCATACGTGTGCGTACTATATAATTATTAGGTATTGATGGTACGAATTACGTATTGGAGTACAAATAGTATTCATTTTGGATGACCAACAATTGTGGGTCCAGATTATGCAACTGTAAATATGTCTGGACAACACTTAATCATTCTATATGGTCTTGTGAAAAATAAAGATTTTCCACAAACAATAATAATATGTTTTTTAAAACGAAAAAAAAAAAAAAAGTTTTTTTTTAGTTCTGAAAAATACGAGATGTCACGTGCATCTCTTATTTTTTCACCCCTCTAATGTCTCCCCTCCTACCCCCAAGATCCCCAAGAGTGTACCACCACTATGCCACCACTACCACCACCATCGTCGCCATATGTGCCCATAAAACTAAATCCTACAGACAAGCACCGCCATCTTTGATGTACAATTAAATCCAAGAACTATTTTAGAAAATATTTTGAAAAGAAATGACAATTGCCTATAATTGATGTGGAAGAAGAGAAAGATGGAAAAAAATCTAACGATAGTCTTTCAGAAGCATTGATGAACAAATCGATGGCATGTAAAATCAAACCCTAAATTGTGTAGATTTCAGTTTGCTTGTAGTTTCATTGGGGTTTCTAGGGACATCAAAGTCGAAAAAACAACAACAACATTAAGTATTAAGCGTGCAGATTTCCTCAAACCACAGGTGAGATTTGTGTAAGTTACATTTAGTTTGATGTTGATAAATGGGAACATATGTAATGAACATGCACTTTCAAATTGTTCCTCCACCTTTCCCCTTTACCTTTTAACCTCTTACCACTTTTACTATTCTTTGGGGACTCCTTGCAAGTAAATTTGTTGTGATCTATATTTATTCAAACATTGCATTTCACCTACTTTCCATATTTGTTTAATTTGAATAAACCTTGTAGGCCTCCATGACATTCCTCCTTTTTTTTTTGAAGGGAAATGAGCTAATAAGGCCACATGATGCTACCATTCATAGGTTTAAATAAGAACCTATAAGTATATGGGAACAAGCGGACAAAATGGTACATAAATGGCACCATAATGCTGTAGAAATAGCATCACATAACAACACCGAACTTTTATATAAATGGGATTTTTTGAGGGGACCAAAAATGGAGTACCTTTAAGCATTTAGGAACATTTGTGGAGTTGGAAACTTGGAATACATTCTATATGATATATCTCACCATTATACTTATTCATCTTCAAAGATCACTCACAACTAAAATCACCATACAACATAATATCATCATTTTACATTATGTGCTTTTGAAGATTAAAAATCAGACATTGTCAATATGCAAACAAGTATTATGCATTTGGTGAAAAGAACAAACAAGTATGGTATAGCCTATAGGTATATTTCTATTCCTTAAATAAAGTTGTGCACAAGTAAGGAACAGCAAGATTTAGACACAAAGAAAAAAAAAAGATTGTAAAAAACAAATCTAGATTAGGAGTTGGGAAACTTTACACTTCTCCATTCTGCCTTCTTCAGTATTAAGCACCATGATAATGCAAGGACAAGTGCCAAAATCCGGCCTCCAATCAGTCCAATTAGAACAATCAAGCACAGAACCAAATACCCAGAATTCTGTTGTGATCCCTTTCCTAAATCCTTGTCATTGCAATCAGTTTCACTTGATAAAGTTAATGATGAAGATGAAGGTCGTCCTTCTATTTCTACAATATTGTCCTGTTCTTGCTTCAAGACACACAAAGTCTCACCTTTTGAATCTGAAGATTCATTACAGATGAGTACTGGTTTAAGATCTTGGGCACATTTCACTGTTTCTTCTTCTTTGAACACACAAGGTATTTCGCCTTTTGAACCAATGGAAGACTTATGGAGTTTCTTTGGTACAAGTTTCTTCATTCTTGATTTCAGTATAGCTCTACGAGAAGTTTTATGCCTAATTTCCATCACAATCTCACTTTTAACTTCGTCTAATTCTTTCTCCGATCTAACCTCCTCCTTTAATTCTACTTGTTCTTCAATCTCCAAGACTTCACTGCATACAACAAGAGTTGTATTCTCCTTTGATCTTTTCATACTCTTGGTTTCATGGAAGTTAGATTCAAATTGAGGTTTTGAATCTAAACTAGGTCTTCTTGAGCTCGATCTCCCCAACAATTGCTTCACTACCGATTCCAGGAAGAAAAGAAGGAAAGCTGACAATGTAATCCCAACTGTAAATTTCTTTGTTCCTAACGCCAAAACCAACATAAACAAAACCTTCAATGCAGCCACCAATACCGGATTCAACTTTGCCATTTCATCCTTCTTTTCCACTTCCGATTTGGTAGGATTGTCAATCTCGATTTTATCGTCGCTCGAAACCATACTCTCAACAACAATATCCTCTTCGATGATTTCATCACTTCTCGTATAATCCGAATTACCGGACGAAAAATTATTGGGATCTACGAACAAACCTGATGACGAAGACGTCGACGTCGACAACGAAGTCTGAGAATCATTTTCCCTCTGTTTCTTCGCCGAGGATTTACGAAAACGACCGCGATTCCTGACGTAGAGATCAATAAGAGACGTTGGGAAACCGGTTTCCACAACAAGAGAGCCACCGTGTTTCGGCGATTGAAGATGATCGGCTACCAATTGCGAAAACCTCGTGCACCTAGTTTTCTTCTTCCAACTAAACGGCATACTGAAATTGATAATCTCGTAAATCTTCTGCCGAATCACTAAATATCTGCTACTCCTCACCTAAACAATCACGAGACCCCAACATATTTTATGAAGATCGGATTCTGAAATCATGAGAAAAACGTGAGGTTATCAAATATGATAATTTATGATCATCTTTGTCACGAATTAACATCTGTCCAGATCAAATACTGTAGATCACTCGGATCTGCGTCTACCAAAAGTCAAATTATGAACAGTTAAAAACCCTAATTGGGGAAAGGGGAAAAGAGAAAGCGTGTTGGGTGAAAGAGGGGTTGAATGGAGTGCGCGTGATGAGAGAACATAAACATTCATTCATGGGGCGGGTGCCTTTTCTTTATAGCTTCCCACTTCCATGGCCAACATATAAATCAGCTTCGCATGGCAAACAATGCCAGGAGTGGAAATTTCCACTACATTTATACGTTTTTTCTACGAAATGACTCATTTTTGAATTTTTAGTTACGTTTAATTTTTAATAAAATAAAATTAGTAAAGTTTTAAAATTTTAATCAAATATAACCGTTCATATTTTGTATGAATTGATTATTTGTTTATATGGGATTCTTCTAAGTATTTTAACATAAAAAGAACAAGAATTGAATGTGAGGAAGAAATAAAGGAGAATTTTGTATAATTTTATAATTAAAAAAACATTTTTCTGTTTTATATTTTGCTAAAATTGACGGGTTTTCCTTTTTTCCTCGTTAAAACATGGAAAATTATTTAAAACTGGAAATACAAATAACAGGGTAAATTGGTAAATTGAAGTTTTAGATATTTTTGAAACTTACGGATTTTGTCCATTTCGAATAACTTTTAACAATTTTTTCCTTAAAATAATTTTTTAACCATTTTGGTCCATGGATCCTTTTACACTTATATTCATGTGAGGAACTAATACACCGTAAAAATATATATATTTTTTATTGGGTTATTGTAGTAAAAGTTCTTAAGATTTTTTAGTGTTGTCAATTTTGTCCTGATGATTTTTTGTGCGCTAATGCTTAATATTTTGGAAGATTTGTTTATTTTTGACCTACAACAAGTCACCACCCACTTAGTGTGTGTGGACTTGTCTATTCTCATTTTTATGCTTATCGTCTAGCTTATAAATATTGCATGCATGTATTTATTAGGGTTAACGCTTTGTTGCCCTGCTTAACTCTTACAAAAAAGTTCTTATTGAACTCTTCTAGGGTTATTAAATTAAAGTATTCGACACTCTTTTGATCATTGTTCTTGTCATTTATTTTACAATAGAATCTATTGATCTTAGTTTTATTACTCTATAATTTGTATCATAGCAGGAGATAGTGTAACTCATTCGTTACTCTTCCTGTCGAGTTTTACTAGGGTTTTGTGTTTTTCTTTGATACGTTCTTGTGGTCTCAATCGTTTCTATCAATTGTAGACTTCAGATCTAGATCTTTGATTTTTACCCCAAACTCGATTCACTTATTACACATCTGATTCTATATATGTTTTAGTGAATTCTTGACATCATGCAGAACGAAGATCCACATACTCTTTCTTTCAATCTCTCTAGTAGTATTGGATCCACAACTAGGATTCCAATCCTCTTCCCTCAAAATTTCGAGGTCTGGGCGTTGCACTTTGAAGACTATGTTCTTGGCATTGAAGAACATGGTTCAACTATATGGCAAGCGATGACTCAAGAGACATTTTTGCACACTGCAACCAGGAAGGTTATCAAAACTCAGACTGATTACAATGCGCTTCTTATTGAACACACTAATGTTCCTCGGGATGAAAAGGATAAGCTGATGTGCAGCATAAAAGCAATGAGAATTGTAAGGTTTGCTCTTCCATTGGATACCTTTCGTCTCGAGAGTGCATGCACTACGGCCAAGGAAATATGGGATAGGATAAAGGAACTTTATTCGAGTGACGTTGATTTGGAACACTCTGTGCAAACATTGCTTTTATCAGAGTTTGGCGCATTCGCACAAAAACTGATGAAAAACTAGATCAGACGTTCAATCGATTTAATCATTTGTTGAGCAGGATGCTTAAGCATAATCTCAGGCGGGAAGTAATAGAACAAAAAGTCATGTTTATGAATGGACCGAGATCTAAGTGGAAAGCTATTGTATCGACTGTGAAGGAACATGAACAGTTCAAGAGCTACTCATTGGCAAAGCTTGTGGGAATTCTAAGATCCCATGAAGATGAAGTCATGAAAGAAGTGAAGGTTGTTTCTAGAATGGGATCCCTAGCGTTAGTGGCAAAGGGAAAGGAGGCAACTGAAGAAGATTTATAATCTGATCTTTAAGACAAAGAGATCTCAAAAGAAGACAAGGCTTTGTAACCCTAAGAAGTTCTACAAGAAAATTTTCTCTCGTTTTCGGAATAAATACAGGTAGGGTGGCAATTCCAGTTCCGAAAAGACTAAAGATGAGGGTTTCATGAACTCTCAAACTGATGAAGAGAAAAAGGAGAAAAAGCTTCTGGGTGATTCAAGATATGAATGTAATTACTGTCACGGCGAGAACCACTTTGCCAAGGAATGTATGCTTAGGAGGATGAATGAGAACAAAGAATCTGAGAAGGATGAAGCTTACTATCTTAAGAAGATTGAGGACCTTCGGAAGAAGAATGCTTCAAACGTGAAGAATCGGCGTTGATCGTGCAATAAGGAAGCGATAAAGATTGAAGAGTCGAAGTATGGTCAATAGACTCTGAAGATGATGAGGTCAGGACACCCACACATGGTGGGTGTTTCATAGCAAAGTCAGTTAACTGAGAGTATGAAGGTAGATGCTTAATGGTACAGAATGACATTTCAGAACAGAGAGGATACGCAACTGACAACGATCAAAATTCTAGAGTTGTTTTGCAGAATAGACTATTTCAGAGCAGGTGTCAGAATGTGAAAGGGTCATCGATAAGGTACACTCTATACTTAAATCTCTTAACATACACGAGTCCCGTTGTGATTCCGAACTAGACGATTTAAAATACATTGTTTCTAATTTTAGAGATAGTCTAAAACGAACTCGTCTAAGTAATGCTAATCTAAATGATCAACTCAGCAGGGTAATGTTTAAAAGCAGGGAAAGGAGGTTAATGATAGAGAAGTTGGAATTAGAGCTCACTAAATCAAGAAATGACATTATTTATCTTAAGATAGACAATTTTGCTTTTTTAAAACAAAGGAACATTTTTCGTTTAATTGCCAAGCGTTTATATTTCAACATTACCCAATTGCATCTTGATTTCGAAATAGGAAAAGGATTGCACAAAATGTTTTTGCCCTTTCTTGAATTGAAAGATGATGAAATCGATGCAGAATGTTATAAGTGTGAATCCATTGTTTTCTTCTGATAATGTTTCATATTCATATAGAATTGGACTCGAGAAAATAGAAGATTACATTAAATACAAAGAACACAACAATATGTTGAAACAAATGTTAAACGATAAGGACAAAGAAGAAATCAAACAAAATTCTATGCAGAAGTATGACTCATTATGCATTAAATTGAGTTCGAAAAATGCTCATGATCATGAAAAATTTTCTGAATTTGATGAGAGCGAAATAAGTGAGATTTTTGTAGATGATGAAGTTGATTGCTCAGAGTTTGTACAAAATAATCATGAACCGAAGAAACAGTTGATTTCTGAAAATTCAATTGAATTTGTTCGTGTTGTAGAAAGTAAAGGTTCAAGTGCTTTGAATGCAAAAGCCACAGTTTTTCCAAAAGTACAAACAGTACTGAATCAAGTTTTTGTAAAAACCGGACTGGACAAAAATGACACTTCAGATCTAACGTCCCTAGTTAGCGATGGTAATACTGATGGACGTGACGAATTTTTCTGGTCTGGACCAATTGACAACGTCGATGAGACAAGAGGTCTATCCGAAATGACCTTATGGAAAATGAAAGGAAAATACGTTTCAGAACCACTGAATCGTGTTGACCTTCATTACAATCAGGCTTGTCTTAGTGGCACTAAAGATGTTCCAAGTGAAACTTCTTCCGAACAGACCTATATGCCAATCCAAAAGGAGAAACCAAAATCTAACATTCACAAATATGCTGCTGAATTGATTGAAAAGAAAAGACATATGAATGCTATATATAGGAAAATTTTGCAAGAAATAAGGCGTGTTTGGAAAAATAAGAATTCCAATCAAAATTTGGTTAATTCTAAAAGATTTACAGTTCAGAATACAAATTCTTCTCCAATTTAGAAACCAAAATCAAAACCTTTTTCCAAACCACAGGTTTCAAAACCACATGTTTCTAAACCAATTGAAAAACCGAATTTTAATAGTCCTTTAAAAACACAGTTTTCAAAATCTGTCAACACATCAAAAGATTTAAAGGGAAAAAGTAAAGTTGTTTCGGAACCAAAGATTTCTCTTAAGGAATATGAAGCAAACTTGAAAAAGGAGGAAAAGGCATTTGCAAAAAAGATGGCTAAGACACACAAAGAATTTATTCAACAAAAAACAAATGCAGTTGAAATTAATCATTGTGATGATAAAATGGAAGTTTTCAAAATAATAAAAGAGAAGAATTGTGTTTTGCTAAGAAGATATTTTTGGGTTGATAAGACTAAGAATTTTCCTATTCTTAAGAAAGCCTCACAAGGACCCAAGATGGTTTAGGTTCCTAAATCTCTCTAAATTTTGTAGGTTATACGTGATGAACAGTACGTTTCAGAATGGTATATTAACAGCAACTGTTCACGTCACATGACTGGAAGAAGAGAAGAATTGAGAGAGTATAGACCGTTAAAAGATGGCGGGAGAGTAAAGTTTGGGAACAATGCCATAGGAGAAATCAAAGGCTACGAAATGATCACAAATGGCGAATTCTACATTCATAAGGTAGCTTATGTAGAAGGCCTGCAACATAATCTAATAAGTGTTTCCCAATTGGTTGTAGGTACTGGGCTAAAGGTGTCGTTTGATGACGAGGGTTAAGAGATTATTGAGAAGAAATCTA